ATGGATGGATGGATGGATGGATGGATGGATGCCACAATTAAAAAATTTGATTCAAGCGAGAAAAATTATTTTGAAGCTAAATTTAATTTGAAATAATATCTGTAAATATTTCTGCCAAGGATAGTGTGTGATTAGTTCTGCTAAATCCTCTATGCTTCACTGTAAGAAAGTATCCACTCGCACTTTCCAGCTAAGACATGTATTTGCAGTTCATTAGTTTCAATAAATCAAGAATGACACATCAGAGGATGTGACATGCAAAGATATTCTTAAGTCAGTTTGTAGACATTCTGTGTAAAAGTACTGCTTATTAGGAAAAGCTGGGTGGAAACTGATTAAGCATGAAACTTTGAATGAAAGTAAGACTGATTTATCTCCTGGCTTTTGGAACATAGTGAGGTTTCAAAAAAAAAAAAAAAAGGGCAGTCGCCAGGTTTTTTTTCTAACCATGTTTTAAGCTGCTAAAGTTAGTTAAACGCATTGCTCTAAAGGTTTATCTTTAAAAAAATTTTAAAGATGAGAGAGGACTGGAAATAGGGCTACATAAATTGTATCTTTTGGATTACTAGCTGATGTAATAGCTTAAAATATGATGAAAGGTCTATAATGTTGGCAATGCACCACTCAAAACCTTCAGGTTATTATACATGGACTGGCTGCGTGATTTTAAGAAAAAATGACTCAAAAACTCTGGCCCACAGATATCAATCAAATAGATATCATGACATTTGTGTCTGTCTAAAAACAAAAGAATAAAAACGTGTGACTGTTTTCTAGTGTCAACTTTATGTTAAGACATTTTTCTGAGTCAATCAAGTGTTGCCTTATTCAATTGGCTTTTAATTTAAATAAGCTCTTCTAGGAAATAATGCCTACTAGCGAGATCTTTAGTCCCATCAAAATTTCCAGAAATATTTCCCATCTGTTGTAATTTTGGTCAAGTCTTTTCCTCGTGAGCTCAGCTGGGTGAATACGCCAGAGATTGTTATTCATTACTTCATTACTTCCCTGCAATCACTTCACCATGCAGAACGTTTCCCATGTAGGAGGATATTTTTCATTCGACTCTTTCCTTTTTCTGGTTCCTTGTTAAAGTTTAAAATTTCTTTCCCATATTTCCTAACCTACTGTTGTACATAGGAGTGACTTACATCATAACATATGAATCCCTTCTTTCATCCTAATCTCTGTATTTTTATATCCAATGCTTTTCTTATTATATTTTACTCTACACAAAATATTAATACACCAGAGTCATTATATTCTGGATGAATATTACTCAATTATTATAAAAATCCAAATTAAACAAAATATTTATGATTTATTTCCCTGATGCATGTGTCTAACTTGGTGAAGACCTGACACCTAATTTGCAAACAGTCTGACCCTAGCCGACTTATGTCAGACATAATATTGGCTGAAATGGGATCTCACTACTTGCAAGGCTTTTTTAAAGCCATTTTTCCCACGAGCAACAGCAATTGGAGACTTGCCATCAGGAAACAAAGTAAACTGTAAGAGGAGTGTCTGCTCTGAGTAAACCCAGATCATTCTAGAAGGAAGTCTAACAGCCAGCATGCCCAGACAGGTTTGGATGAAACAAACCTCTTCATAAAGTTTAATAGAAGGGCCATTTTGTTTTCGGTAGCATATCTTTTATATGTATTAGAAATAGCTTTGTATGCTGTCATTGTGACTTCAACATTGAATTTAGATAATGTCAACCACTCATACCTTTTGTAAGAGTAAAAACAACAACAAAAAGTTATGAAAACCCTGAATTAGCAAAGTAGCCAATCATCAGCCAGTACTGAAACTACTTTGCTGCTCTGTGTATATTAGAGCCTTCTCTTAGCTGTTCTAATCACCCCCTTGGCTGTTTGTTCAGTCTCTTTTTGGCATTGACTTCAATCATTAGTAGTAGTTTCGGTCCATTTGAATACTTTCCAAATGGAAGTATCTTATTAGTAGAACAAATGTTATTCACCAGAGTATCTAATAAAAGGAAAGAATGTCTGAATTAAAGCATTAAGACATGAAAAAAAAATCTTTCATGGGGATGTTTGTTATCTGTCTTTTTTTGTCTTGACTAACTAAATGTCAGAAATGTCCTGTTTATACCATGGAGATGGAGAGTAACACAATTCCTTTGTATGTCCAGTACTTGAAAGAATCGACTACAGTATACATTTTCATCTTATTTTAGAATTTTTTTTTGCAACAGATATGTTGTTAATTACTGCAAAATAAAATTAATCACAAAATTATGCAAAAGCAAAAATTCATACATATTATTGTCATGGCCTAAAGCTATATCAGTTCTAGGTTTCTTCCAAATTCTGATGTAAATATTTGATGGAATTATCTTAATAATGTCTAAGGCAAAAAAAATATATATAGCTGCTACAGTTAGATGTTAAATATGATCTCTATTATTTTCATAACGTACATGACTCCATAAAACAAAACAAGTAAAAAAATATATATATATTTTTAAAACTGAGAGAAGCTTGTCTGCTCTGAGGCATTTAATTACCTGTATTTGTTGTGGTATAAACTAGACTTACATGCTCTACTTACGCTACTTTACACATTAAATATGGTTTAACAGCTACATTCAGAGTGGCCTACCAAGCAAAACTGTAACACTTTTACCATGAAAGTTGCTTATAAAAAAGCAGTTCACCTGAAGAACTCCTGAAACAGAGGAATACATGGTGAAGTACTCGAATAGACCATTAATTGTTGTTCTGTGTCAAGCAAAACACCTCTGGCTTTTCAGTTCAGCAAAATGTGTTAGTAAATAGCAAAACAATAAAATACATGAAATAGCTTTGCATATTTAGAATAAAATTCAGCCTTCATTATTATGTTTTCTGTAAC